AACGTGGTGACTAAAAATTTTTCGGCGAGCGAGACTGGCTTTTCAGTTTCCAAATATTGGGGCGCTCAGCTTTTGCGTGTGCCGTGCATTTATATCCGGTTCATTTATGCATTTATCCATATTCTTGCCTTTTGCGCAGCGTATATCTCAATTTTAACAATGAAATAAATCGTTATTGGCCCGATCAGCAGTGCGGCCATTCGGACGCATCACGTAAGACCTCCGAAGTCTTCGACGCAATTCCTCAGTGACGCGCCAGCAGCTGGTTAGGAATAAGCTCTTAGGGGCCTTTTTTCAATCATACAGGCAAAATGTTCTCGCATTCAGTAATGAGCTCGAGGCCCAGAACGCTGCAATTGTTTAAGCTTGTCCAGGCTATCGATCTTCCTGCGTTCATTTTATAGTGAAGTATAAATGGCAGTGTGAACCAGGCTGCCTGTGCGATCATGCTTTTTGTGCAGTTCTCAGCAGACGCTTATTGTTAAGAACATTCACTGCCGCATCTGGACAAGCAGCATGTTGGAATTGCAACTTTCCGTTTTGCCCAGTATCCAGTCTAGAATATTACTCGCCTGAAGCTTCATGTGTCCGAATAAGATCAAGGCATACATGATAGCTAGATTTTATTTACTGCGAAGTTGCACATAGGCATGGCACGTCCTTGTAAAAGTTTTCTCTCTTCCATGGTTGCTGAATTAAAAACCCCGGACAAAGCCCACATACGTATATGTGCACATACCACATACGCACACATACACACATCACGCACACACACACACATCACACACACACACACACACGCACACACACACACGCACACACACACACGCACACACACACAGGATCAGGACAATATTTGTTTCGCAGTGCTGTCACCGCACAAAACGCATAAAAATAATTTGCGCTATTCGTAACAAAGGTTAGAAAATATTTGCGCAGGCTTCATGCTTCCTGTCTTTTTCTCAGTTTCCGGTGACAGTATCCGGCTGCGAGACCCGCCTGTTTTTGCACTCTTATTTGGCTCTTCATCAAACATTTCAGAATATGTTGTTGATTGTGGATTTCTTGGCAGTTAGGATCAAAGGTCAATCATTTCTGTGCGTTATATTCTTTGCTTCCTCGAACGCGCACTGCACTGCCCTAATAACAGCGACTAAAAGTCATCCGGAAACAGTATCTTTCATGCACACTGCAGAAACTGTGTGAAAAAGCATTATTATACCAGTAACATCGGACCTCTACATCCGAGTGGTCCCAACAGTCCCGGAAAAAATAAAAAAAGGATTTCTAGGGATCAGTTTTACTTAACAGAACACAACTGAGAATTCCTGTATGACCTGTAAAAAAGTTTTGTTGTAACAGCGGTACCACTGTCCAGAGGAATTGTCCATTTTAAATGCGCTTAAACTACAAGCAAACCATTATTTTTCAGGCTTTGTTATCCGAGGAAATGCGACACTGCTGCGAAGTTGATGCAAACTCCAAATAGCCCAAATGAATATTATTCATTTCTGGTAGCCTGAAAATAAGATTATTCATTATTTCGACTTTTCCTGAAAGGAAAAAACATTCACTTTACAACTACGTCGAACACCAAAAGGCGAAAAATAAGAACTGTAATATTTACAATTGAAAATGCCCGTTTTTTAAAGGGAAAGCAAACCCCCTAATTACGGAAGGGAATTAGAAAATTTGAAAAAAAAGTCAAAAAAGTACAAAGAATTCAGCTTTCGAAGAAGCAAAAATCTACCCTGAAATGCTACTTTGCGCTCAAATTTCGGCTAAGGATCCGGACGACCGGTTTGTTGTTCGCTGTCTTTGTAACGGGCCAAAAATCACCAGCAGCACGATTTCTAGCAACTTGCGCTGCGACGACAGCGAGACCAGCAGAGGTACTAGAAACAAATACCTCTCCCACTGTATTCGATGACACAGTAGCAACAATCGGTACAGCAAAAACATCACTGTCTCAGCATCGCTGTTATCATCATCAGTGTCATCATCACCACCTTCAGTCACCATCATCATCAGCAATACCGCTATCAAAAGGAGTGTAAGAAACATACAGGAATTTGCCTTGCATTTAGAAATTTGTGTCGAAGCCCGGCCGTGGCCACGAAATGCTGGGCTGCTGAGCAGTTCTTGCCAGGTTGGTATTTTTCATAAAAAGCCGATTTTCAGAAGTCTTTGATCATTTTAATTGATGTAGACCAAGGGACACAGGGCTTCCTCAGGAGAGGGAAGGGTCCGAAAACTTAGTGCACCCGAGAAAAGGCTAACAAATTAAAGTTGAGATTTTGAGGCAGCATAGGTAAGAGCACTGGTAGGGAGGTAGAGTGGAATGGGAAATTGAATGCGCTGTGCTGTCGAAGTATGGTGGCAGGAACGGGGCTGTTGCTTTGAAACTGAAGCCCACGTTTGAGAGAAGAAAGCGGGTGACGCATGCGCAAAGCTAACAAAGAGCTTTTTTGGATCTAGGGCAAGTGCGCAAATTGTTATGACTCCTCTCGGGCTATTTCTGTAAAGTCATTTTCATCACCTGTAGCTTGGCTTTTTTTTACATTCGTAACCGAGGAAGATAAAACTTTTTGTTTTGTAACCTCAAGTCATCAATTTCACTACAAGTATTTTTTTTTTAAATTGTTACTCAGATACTGTTAGCTCTAAAAGATCTTGAAAATTTACAGACACTTGGGAATAGACCAGGTGATAGCACACTGCTGCTAGCAACCAAACTTAACAAAGCTATCGATGGCTTTCTTTACAGGCAGTTGCTTCAAAGCAAGTTCATGTTGGTGCAATTTTTGTTCAAAAACACATACTTGCTAGTCACCTTCTATTCATTATCATTAGAGGTCGTGTTCGCGGGAGAAAACAAATGAATTTTGATATTTTGCTTTGTCGTTATAACATTAAGGCCTGTCGCCATTCACCTCTCACAATGCCAGTATCACAGTGCTGGAGCGGCTCACTGCGTGATAAGGGAGCAAGAACAAGTCGGAGTGCCATGACGGAGTCAAAACTTTGATACGAAGCGTTCCATGTGATAATTTTTCTGCTAGTATGTCGCTTGCTCCTATATATTAGAATCAAATGGTGAACCAAGAGCTGATGTGTAGCTTTCGAATGCTCCCATGCTTCAAGACGAAATCCATATAACTTGGCTCCTTGTCTTGCTTTCGCGCACTTACATAAACATACACACATACGTGTATCAGCTTTTCAGCGTCAGCATCTCTGAACTTTTCACCATTCGCCAAGTAGGTGACCTTGTAGTCATAGAGCACTGCGGGATACTTAACATCGTAAATAGATCAAGCGATAACTTTTTATGCGTTTTTGCCGTGCAGCGCTAGAGCGCTGCAACAGGCAGCAAAAACGCATATT